AAAGGATGACTTACCAGAAGTCCTGACATTCCTTGAAACAGTTGATGGTGCTTCCTCTTGAGTAGGTGGAGGGACAATGGATAATGGATTGATATCCATCACAAGATCGGATAGGTTGAGCATTCGAAAATTTTCATCAGCCATATAACCTGACAGAGATGGCCCAGGGTTTCCAGATGATGCATGCATGTGCTCAGATGATGAATGTTGAGACATCTTTGAACTTACTTGTTGCAGATGAAATGTTGAAACACAAGTGAAGAAGCGTGACCACAAATTTTTGAGAAAGAAGATGAATGAGAAGTTGGAACATTGAATTTGGTATTGGTAGCATGTTACTATCCAACAAATTACACCTTGAGTTAGTGGGCTTGGGCAAGCGTGGGAGTGGGAAACATAAACTTTGAGATTTTGCTTGACCAACATAAATGACAGTAATTGTTACAAATTCTCATAAATATAAATGCCAAGATTACATCTTAATTTTTCAAATTGAACAACATCCAAGGCCTTAGTAAAAATATCAGCAAGCTGATTTTCAGTGCTGACATGCTCAAGAGTTATGACTTTGTCTTCAACAAGTTCTCCAATGAAATGGTGTATGATATCGATGTGCTTAGTCCTACTATGCTGAATAGGATTTTTGGAAATATTAATAGCACTCAAGTTGTCATAGAATAATGTCATGACATCTTGTGTGACATTATATTCAGATAACATTTGTTTCATCCATACTAGTTAAGAACAACTACAACCTGCATCAATGTACTCAGCTTCAGCTATAGATAGGGATACACAATTATGTTTCTTGCTCAAACATGAAATAAAATTGTTTCCCAAGAAGAAACATCCACCAGAGGTACTCTTCCTATCATCAGCATTACCAGCCCAATCAACATCATAATACCCCACAAGCACTAAATTTGAATTATGAGAATACAACATACCATACTCACATGTACCATTCACGTACTTCATAATTATTTTTCCTTGATTGATGTGACTCACTTTGGGTTCAACTTAATATCTAGCACAAAATCTAATGCCAAAAGCTATATTTGGTCTGCTTGTTATAAGATATAGAAGGCTACCAATCATGCTTCTATATAAACTCTGATCAACACTAACTCCCTTCTCACCTCCAAATAGCTTCAAATATGTAGGAGAAGGATTCTTTTGTGACTAGAATTCTCCAATCCATATTTTTTTACAATATTTTTGCATATTTGCTTTGACAATGAAAAATGGAGTCTTCCATCTGCTTGACATGCAACCCAAGAAAGAATGTTAATTCACCTACCAAACTCATCTCAAACTCAAATTGCATATGTTTGACAAAATGTTGAACCATCTCATCTGACATCCCTCCAAAAACAATATCATCCACATAGATCTTAGCTATAATAAGTTTTACACCTTTCTCTTTGACAAAAAGAGTCTTGCCAATTCCATCCTTTCTATATCTATGGTTAATGAGAAACTCAGTCAACCTCTCATAGCAAGCTCATGGAGCCTGCTTCAAACCATATAATGCTTTATTTAGTTTGAACACATGATTTTGAAAAGAAGGATCAACAAATTCTTTTGGTTGTTCAACATATACTTCTTCATTTAGATACCCATTTAAGAAGGCACTCTTAACGTACTTTTGTAAAAACTTGAATTGTAAGAGGCATGCCACTCCAAGTAAAAGTCTGGTAGATTCCAAACTAGCTACAAGAGCAAATTTTTCATCAAAGTCCACTCCTTCAATTTGAGTGTACCCTTGAGCAGCAAGCATGGCCTTGCTTCTGCTGACAACACCTTATTCATCTGATTTGTTCTTATACACCCATTTAGTACCAATAACATTTACCCCTTCAGGTCTTGGTACCAAGTCATGAACCTCGTTTCTCTTAAATTAAATAAGTTTATCATGCATAGCAGGAATCCTGAACTCATCAGTCAAGGCCTCTTTGACATTTTTTGGTTCAAATTTTGAAACAAAGCAAGCATTTAATGTCATGGTATGCTATGGCATGAGATCTCAGCTCCACATATTCTGGATAACCACTGTATAATCCTTTGCATACACTGAAAGTAATAGGATCAAAGGTATTACGTCACAAGCATGGAGTCAAGGTAACCACACATAAGGTATGTACTAAGGGTTCATCACCTTCCGAACAAGGTTCTAGGAAAATCTCAGAGTCTACGCTCTTCCTTTGGATATTACCAACATCCCAAATTACTCGGTAATTAGTAATATTCACAAGAAAAACTCGTCCAAGTGTAGCATCGCGTGAAAACTACTTTCAGATTACTCTGTCATAGTCTCTGCACTACTCTTAAAAGGTCGGGATGGGTTTAGGGTTCTATGGCTCTCAGCTGCTCTGGCTACCAGGTCAAAAGCGACATGTCTTCCTAATTACTTGGTAAACAATGCTACATTCAAGGGGACCTCCACTGAGTGGGGGATCTCATGTCTCCTTCTTCGAGATTACTCCCTCAAAGTTAACTTGATTACATCGCCCATCCTAATCCTAAGTGTAACCCCATGTCCGGGTATAAGACTTATCAAGTGAAATCAACCATCGCAACATCACAGAAGATACATCATATCCATAATAGATGAGTAGCAAAAGATACAATGTAATATATACAAAAGAAAGCAATAAAGCAGTAAAGAAAATAAAGCAAATAAATAAACACCCAAAAAGGCAAGCAAATAAAACTAGGATTGACTCACATTGGGTCCCCAGTAGAGTCTCCAGCTGAAGCGACCAACAAAAAACACAGAGCTACCACCAAACTTTATTTATCCCGAAGGAAGAGGAAATATCGAGAGAACCCCTAAGAGGATGGATAAGATGGTCTTGCAACCAAAAGAGAGGGTATATAAGTCGATTATGTGAGGGGAAGTTATTAGCACCCCTCACTTCCGTTTTACTCAACGGGATCCATTTCGATTGTTTGCTTCTAAGGGTGCGTCTATCTAAAACTATACCTGCTAAGGGAAACAAAGTGGTTTTTATTAGTGCATTCGTGAGGGTCTCTCAATCCTTTGCCTACGTATCCCGTGAAGGAATCAGAACATCATAGTTCTTCTAGAAAATGTGGTTTGTTGGTGTTTTTTAGTGGGCGACATTAACACATGCATTCTAGCAATAGGCACGGTCAATATCGCGGTAGAATGGAGATAACATGCCCTTTTGAAGAAGATTTTTAATTGGTTGAGTATTTTTGTTAAGTCTGGAATGAATTTGAATAATGATTAAGTATTTTTGGATTTTTAATAAGGAAAGAAGTTTTTGTTTTAGATTATACAAAAGAAGAAAAAAAGTTTAAAAGGAGATTAAAAAAACCTAATTATTGTCATGCAAGGTGGACTTAAGGTTTAGATTAAAAGAGAAATTTTATCCTAAGATGTTATCATGCAATATATTTGATCCTAAAATCTAATCTTCATTCTATTTAATCAAAGATTGAAATTGAACTAAGATAGCCTAAGTGAGCATGTCAAAATTCTACTAAATAATTAATCACAAATAAAAGGAAAAAAGAATCTTAATATTTTTGTGATTTTGATTTTTATAGTTAGTGATTATGTATAAGAGAATGATGAATTATTTACAAACTAATTAAAGCAAATTGACATGACTAATTAATCATTAATCTAACCTAAGTAATTGAGATAGAAACTAATTAAAGAGTTCTAATATTATTTTTTGTATTTATATATTTTTTTGGTATTTTTTAAATTAAAAAAATATTAAAAGCTAAAGGAAATAAAATCATATATATTTTTGTCATTTTTCATGTGAAAGAAAAATAAAATAAAATAAAATAAAACCATGAAGCAAATATATCACAAATAATAATCAAAACTGAAAAGAAACTAAACTAAATGGGATTAAAAAGAAAAAGCAAATGGGGGTACACATTGAATTTTCGGACCAGGGTGTAAGGAAACTGAATGGGCTTAACTGTGAAGCCCAAAGAAAATCAAACTTGATAGAAAAACCATAGATGCACTAAGAAAGGGTGGACCGGATGCAAGTCCTATGGTCCATAATTAAGTCAATTAAATTCAATTAATTACAACTTAAATCCAATTAAACATCCAATTAAATAAATTATAGCATAAAATGAAAATCTCTCTCAGTGGAACGAACATACGCCTCTCCATCTCTCTGCTTCTCATTGTAAAAACATCAAAAAAACAAAAATCGCAGTTCTCAAAACCATAGCACACCATATAAACCCTTATCCCCAAATGAAAAACCTAAACCAAATTTGGTAATTTTCAGTTTACGAATTACATGATCAGAAATGATAAGAAAACTCAGGAAATTCCTCAATTCGTCTTATCTTCTGATTCGTATCTTCTTCCAATGCTTTTCAACTCTTCTTCGGTCTTCATTGTTGTATGCAATTTTGTAGGCGACGAATACTGATGATGTGGAGTGAGGCAGCGAGCGGTGGTCTTAGACGAAGACGTGCGCCTGAAACACGAGCTACTCACGGAGGGAAGAGTGTAGATTTCAGCAAGATACACGCAACAGTTCAGTGTAGCGATTGAATCTGAGAGGGTGGCCGTGACTACTGATAGTAACTTTCGGCCCTTTCAAGCTTGAGCGTCAGTGATGACTTTCCAAGTAAGTCTTTAGATCTGCTTCTCCATGATTCTTCTTCTATTCCTTCTTCATTTTTGTTTTGCCTCTGTGTGCGATTTAGGTGTCTATGGTATCTGTTCTTGAGAGAGTTTGCGAGAGTGTGAAGGTGTTTTTTTGCAGTTTATGGTGATGAATATGACTGAGGTTGTGATTGATGAAGGGCTAATTTTATATTGTTTTATGCAAGATAGGGAAGAGGTATTTGGGGCAGCAGGTTTGTGCATCAGTTTTGTGGATAGTTTTCTTTAAGTTTTGGCTCTTTATCCAATTTGATGCAAGTTTTCAGAGTTGTAGAACAAATCTGCATAGCATTTTCTATCAAATGTTGGTCGCAGCTTTAATACCATGATATGGCTTTATTGCAGCAGGTTTTGTACAGTATTGCAAGCTGTTTTCGCAGGGCTATTTTTGTCTGGTTTTGAATGTTTTCATAGCAGGTTTTATGGAAGGTTGGGCAAAGGGTGTAACAGGTTTTGGTTTGTGTTGAGAATAGGTATGTATAGGAGAAACAAGGCTGGTTTTGGATGTAGCAGAATTTGGAAGGGTTTGGCATGTCCTTATGGTGCAAGGTTTTTTGAGATTTCTCTAGTAATATCTTTCTGATTTTGGCCTTTCTTGTTTTCTCTGAAACTTATGTGGCTTATATCTTCTTATTCTTTATGATTTTGATAAATTTCTGAAGGGTTTTTATGGTATTGAGGAAGATGATGAATAAATCTAGGGTTTGCCTTGTGTGAACTCTTCATTCGTGCTTTTGCAATCTAATGTTTGTTTGATATGATCTGAACTTTGTTGTTGATTAGGACGATTGCAATTTCATTACTTGCTACTTATGTGATGCTTTGTTGTTTTTTCATTGAGGTGCATGCAGTAACTTGTCTATTTTTAAAGTTTGTCTTATTATGAACCAAACCTGTTTTTGTGATTTGCAATAGTAATACTTTTGGGCCAATAATAGAATTTGTTTTTGTTTGCAAGATAATGAGGCCTTTGTTGGGCTTTGGCATATGATTGAATTCAAACTCCTTATGTTCTGATTCCTTCATAAAATCCCAAATGATGAATTGCGAAATGCTTGCTTAGAAGCTTTCCTGTTCATGACTCATTAATTGAACTTGTACTAACTATTTCCTTGTTTGTTTTCCTTGTGATGTTGATGGATGAGCTTGCAAGAGAATAGAGGAAGACTTGAAGAAGAAGTTATAGAAAGGCATGAGAACAAGACACTTGAAGATGGAGCAAGAAGATTGAAGAATAATTCTCTTTTATTTGTATCTTTAGAAAAAATAAGAAACTTTTAACTTGCCTTTCAAATTTGTAATTGAACTTTGTTAGACTGGAAGACTTAGAACTTTGGGCTATGAAACTCGCATTCTTCTTGTAAATTGAACAACCTTAGAATTTTAGGCCATGGTCGTTTGGGAAATTCTTGTATATTAGTGAAGTACTTGGCCTTTAGACCTCCAAAACCTATTGAATGTTGAATTGGTAATCATGATGTTGAAAGAAAATTCAAAAGTTCCATCTTGTTTGGAAAAATAATGAAGTGATGTCTTGAAAGAACGAGAAACTTGGGAATTCTTGGATTTTCCATAACAAAAATTGGAACCTAGGACATAGAGACTTGAATCATACTTGTATCTTGAAAACAAATTTTGGAATAACAACTTGCCAAATTATGAAATTAAATTCTATTTGAAAGCTTCTTGAGTGAAGATTTAATGAAAAAGTTTGAATCATCGTGATTCCCTATAATTCTTTAAAGATTCAATGATGAAAACAAACATGAAAATCACAAGAAATAACAAAAAATTATCTCTAAATAGAACTTTTGAAAGAGAATAAATATCAAGACTTGAACTTGAACTCTTGAATGCCCAAAAATGATTCACTCCAAAAGCCCAAATACCTTCAACAACTCTTGCATAACAAACTCAAATATTCATCCTTAAAAGGATGACCTAACAAGTAATCCAAAAATCACTCGATCAAAGAAACCCAGTCTTGATGAAAATGAAGCTCCCAACTCTAAAGGGGCCAAAACCATAATTTCTGACTGAACAACTTAGGAGATGGTAACTGAGGAGCAAACCTCGATTTTTCATCACACATAGGGAAATAAACCCTAATCCAAGATGTTTATGAATTTTAATGAGAAATGGCCTTGTACATGGATGAATAAGAAACTCATGATAACCATACTTCAAACTTGATTCCACTGTCCACTGCCCAAGGAGGAACCAAGGAAATCAACTGTAGAATGTAGAAGCCTCAAACCAAAATTAAACCCTAGTTAGCTCAACCACTGATGCTTTGAACCACTGGTTTCTTGAATGAAGGAATGATATGCAAATGACCTAGCGAAAATGATACAAATGAAATGTAAAGTCTAAGACAGATAAAAGTGAAAAGGTAGGACAAATTTGGGGTATGACAATGAGTCAACTCATGGGTTGACCTGAGCAGTCCCGTGAGGCATCCAATATGTTTGACAGATTTTGTAACGATCATAATTTTTGAACCGTAACTCTATTTTAGGCACCGTTCGAAGCATTATGAATCTAATGCAATAACCTTTAAGATAGACCTAGGTTTGTTGGAATTATATGATTAAATAATTATGTTATTGTGTAAAGTGACATGTATATGTGTATATGTATGTCATGAATTAGTAAAATATGAATAACATGTGTTAGTATTGTTGCTAAATGCAATTTGTGATATGCATGATTGGTGAAAGCTAAATAATTGAATTGTTGGTAATGATAACATGATAAATATTTTTTTTGTGCAATGGTGGGATAATTCACTTTGATGGATTATTGTGATATGAGGTTTGATTAAGGTTTAGTGATAATCTTAATTTGCATATATTTTGTTATGCTTGCACATATATAAATGGGGAGATTGAACTCCATTTGGTTGCTTTAATCCTTGTGCGGAAATAGAAGCGGTGGACTATATGTTCATAATGATGGTTTCTTTGATCCTTCTGTGGAAATAGAAGCGGTGGACTATATGTTCAAAATGATGAGCTTTGATCTTGTCTAAATCGAAAGCGTGGCTCTGATTCTAGATATAGAATCGAGAGCAAAGTATACTTGATGTTCACGATGGTACCACATGAATGAGTCGCATTGAGTTACATTGGAGTCACATTCGTCGTTATCTGATGTTTTGCATTGATGCATAATGTATGTGATAATTGGTTTGATCATGACATTGGTGATGTTTGTGATATATGTGATAATTGAATTATTTGTTACGTTGATGTTACTTTGGTGGGGATTTTCTATATTCGATGATGGTGTGAATAGTTATACTTGGAATACTTGTAATGTTTGGATATAATTGTTTTGGTACTTGGAATGGTAAAGCCATATTGTATAGATAATTATATAAAGTGTGAGGAATTCTTTTGATGAATGTTTGTTATGCATTACTTCTTATTATATATATATCCATAATGATATGAATTCTCACCCTTCTGTTGGAATGATTTTTTATACGACATCACTCAGGTAACGAAGATAGTGGCGCTTCGCACGAGGATAGTTGAGGAGCTTAGCTCAGTATATCCATTTTTACTAGGTATTGAGTCAATGCTCTGGTCATGTAACACGGGGGTATTTGAACTCATGTTTGTTTTGAAGAGATTTTGTTAAATTCTCTTGTTTGTTTGTATCTTGAGATAATATGTTGGGTGGCCTTAGTGCCTAATATTTTGGATTCATATGACTTGTTATGTGTGAATTGTTGCTATGTTGGTATATGATTATAGTATGGGATATAATCATTTGATAAAAATTTTATTAAAGAAATATTCCAATATGATATACATAGTTGTGGAAACATGAAGTTTGAATATGTGTTATGTATTATGACCAGGTGTATGTTGATGATTGTTTTGTTGGTTTTCTATATTTTGGAAAACCACATGTGACACCATTTGAATATTATGCATGTTATCTTACTATGTTTTATGCTATATTTTCTTGGGGTTAGAAAAGGGTGTTACATTAGTGGTATTAGAGCAGGTCGGCTCATCCGGCCAGGTTGTCTATTATTGTTTGTCCCTTAGTACGCGACATGTGTGTGAAACACTGTCGGTACTTGTTTGTTTGTCTAGCTACTTGGTTGCAGGAGTGGGTTTAAAAAAAGTGGGGGAGAATCTTTTCTTCCCTGAGATCTGAGATGTTTATGGTGTGAAGAACTGGACCACAGTGCTTTAGGTGACTTTGAGATCAAGAGAAATTCTATTATAGTTTGGTAACGATAGTTTATGATCTATTATGGTTGTCGGTTGCCTATTGAAAAATTTAGGAACTTATCACTCTTAATCTATTGTTGATAGTAGACGGAATCGTATTGGATAGGATAGGCTTGTCTTGTCAGCTTGAAAGTATGTAGAGTAATGAGTCTGTGCAGGATGGTGTTGTGTTAATTTCTTTGATGGCAACATTGGATATCAGTGAGAAACAGATGATTGGTGAATAACCAATAGTTTGTGACTTTCTTGAGGTATTTTCTGAAGATGTAAATGATTTGCCTCCAAAGCGTAAGTTGGAGTTTACTATCGATTTAATTCCTGTAACTAGTCTGGTTTTGATGGCTCCATATTGGATGTCAGCTTCTGAGTTGTAAGAGTTGAAGAGTCAACTTGAGGATTTGCTTGAGAAGAGGTTTATCCATCCGAGTGTGTCATCGTGGGGTGCACCTATTTTGTTGGTTAAGAAGAAGGAAGGTTCTATGAGGTTACATGTGGATTATAAATAACTGAACAAGGTGACTATTAATAACAAGTATTCACTTCTAAGGATTAATGATTTGATGGATCGGTTGGTGGGTGTCAGTGTGTTCGGTAAGATTGATTTGAGGTCTGGGTATCATCAGATTTGTGTGAAGGCTGAAGATATTCATAAGATTGTTTTTAGAACAAGGTATGGTCATTATGTGTATTGTGTAATGTCGTTCGGTGTGACCAATGCATCTGGTGTATTTATGGAATACATGAACATGATTTTCCATGAGTTTTTGGGTAAGTTTGTTGTTGTGTTCATTGATGACATTTGATCTATTCTAACAGTGAAGAGTATCATGAAGAGCATTTGAGGATCGTGTTATCTGTGTTGAAGGAGAACCAGTTGTATGCAAAACTTTCTAAGAATTAGTTTTGGTTGAAGGAAGTGAGTTTCCTTGGTCATGTGATTTCGAGTGGTGGTATTTCCGTTGATCCAGCAAAGATTGAGGCTATATCTCAGTGGGAAACTCTGAAATGTGTTTCTCAGATTAGAAGTTTTCTTAGGTTAGCTGGTTATTATCGGAAGTTCATTGAAGGGTTTTCTAAGTTGGCGTTACCTTTGACGCAGTTGACTAGGAAGGGTCGAGCTTTTATTTCGACTTTGCAGTGTGAAGCTAATTTTCAAGAGCTTAAGAGAAGATTGACAAATGCTCCTATTTTGATTTTTCCTGATCCGGAAAAACCATTTGTGGTGTATTGTGATTCTTCATTAATGGTTTTAGGAGGTGTGTTGATGCAAAATCAGAAATTTGCAACTTATGCTTCAAGGAAACTTAAAGTTCATGAAAGAAATTATACGACA